TCTTCGGAGATATCATATACAAAAGTCCAGTTAACTTGATGTCGTCATGATTATAGGACCAGGACTCGATGAACAAATAACAACATATAATGTTCCCAATAATTAATAATGTCGGTGACACAAACTATGGGGTACGAAACATTAGACGGTGAAAAAAATAATTAAATCCTTTGTCTGTGATGATACCACGTAACTAAGATTGTGGATGAACAATTCAAAGAGTTTGGGTCTTAACAGGTCTTTGAAATGTTGTAACTTGTAAGTGAACTTTTGAAATTAATTTTTATTTAGAAAATATTATTTTCATTTTTCAAGGAATGATTAAATGTGTCAATACTATATCGAAAATTCGGCTGGAGTTTCAAATTAATAGCAGAGATATTATAAAGTTATACATTTATTCTATTTATACTATTTATGAAACAAAATATGAAATATTTTAGAGGTATGGAGAATATACTCATCTACTTTGATGACATATTGATTGCAGCATAATCAATAGATCAACATGAACAAATAATGAGCAACGTAATAGACAGGGCTAGAAAATATCATATCAAGTTTAATGTAACAAAATTACAATGTAGAAAAAATAAAAATATAGAGGTTAAATTTTTTGTATTAAATCTTTACAAGAAAAGTGTAAGTTCATACAGTGAAAGAATAAATGTAATTTAAAAATTAAAAAGTTAAATTAATAAGAAGAAGCTTCAACAAATTTCCAATGACAATTTATACCAAATATATCAAAGATAATTTTGCCAATCAGAGAGCTATTATAAAAATTCTGTGTGGAATTGGACAGAAAGGCATAGTCAGATATTAGAAACAGTAATAATTTTAATCAGTGAAAAGTCATAACTAGTGCATTTCAATGCACAGATACAGTGTTCCGCCCTAATAGGAGTTGCTGTGACCAGGTTATGGCACTTACTACCCATATAGAAAATGGGCATGATAGAAATGTTAAAACAGCAGTGGCATTCATTGACCTATAATCTGCCTATGCCCTATGACACTGTCTGGAGGAAAGGGCTTTTATCAAAATTCCTAGTGATTCCATGCAAAAAATTATTAAAACTTCTCAATAATATGCTTAGTAACAGATTTTCTAAAGTAAAATAAAGATGCTAAATAATGGCCTCCCTCAAGGTTCTGTCTTAGCACCCCTTCTCTTTAACCTATATGTCAAGGACCTACCAGCGACAACTACAAGAAATTTATATATGCTGATCACCTAGCACTAGCCTACCAGAGTAAAAAATTCGAAGACCTTGATGTCAAACAATGTCTGAAGACCTTGATACATTACATAAGTTCTACAATCAATGGAGACTCAAACCAAATCCATCAAAAACGGAAGTCACCCTCTTCCATCTGAATAACAGAAGAGCAAATTAGAAGATACAGGTGCAGTTTGGAGATCAGCTAGTGAAAAACAACCCCTATCCTAAGTACCTGGGTGTGGTATTAGACAGATTGCTCAAGTTCAAGAACCATCTAGCCAAACTTTCAGCGAAAATAAAGACCCGTAATATTATAATTTCCAAATTGAGTGGTACATCCTGGGGAGCTGATGCAACGAATACCCTACGAATCAGCACGCTAGCACTAGTATATTCAGCTGCAGAATTCTGAGCCTCAGTATGGATAAATAGTGCACATACAAATAAACTTGATACACAGCTCAACTCAGCAATGAGAATCATTGGGGGAACATTAAAAACTACCCCTTTAAAATGGCTCCCAGTACTTAGCAATATAGCTCCTCCTAAGATCCGAAGAGAACAAGCTCTCATCCGGGAATGGACTAAGATAAGCAATAACAAGGACCTTCCGATACACGCAGATGTAAGACTAAATGTGGATAGACTACGTCTTAAGTCACGCAAACCGCCCTGGAAAACCGCAGAGATTCTATTACTCAAACACACAGGGGGAAATACCAAATGGCTTGAGGATTGGATGGCGAAGAACCCTGATGGACAAAACATTGTTACCAATCCAACTTCCAAGCAACCAGGCTTCGATCTGCCTTGACAAATTTGGGTGACCCTAAATCGCATTAGGACCGGCCATGGAAGATGTAACCACATGATGTACAAATGGAAATTACACACTACTGCTTCATGTGACTGTGGAAATGATATGCAAACAATTTCCAATATAGCAACTGAATGCCCTTCCCGTGCATTCAAAGGCGCTATAAATGATATCCATACAGCTAACATGGATGTGATTGATTGGATACGAAATCTAGACATGAATCTATAGCCCATAGTTCCAAATTCATCTCAGCTATAATAGTTACCATCTGTCATATTAGACATATTATTATATTATTATTATTTTTTTTATCCTATTACATACAATTTTATTATTATTTACATGTTTAAATTTGTTGCTCTACTTTGTCATACGAAATATATATATTGTGATGCTTCTAAAGATGCTTTTGCATATGTTTTGCTACACCCAAACAAGCCAGTGTGGTTAACTAAGTCGTGAACTGATACTATGCAGCTGTATGCGATTACAGAAAAATAACTTTTGCAGTTAAGAAATTTCACTATTACATATATGGGCACAACTAAAAAATATACACTGAACACTAACCATCAGTGTCGATTGTAAATTAGAATTTAAAGAAGGTTGAAAATATCAGACTAAAAAGATATAAATTATTAAATTATAACTTCACAGTAGAGTACTTACCTGGGAAAAATATATGAATACTGTAGACTTACTGTCAAGAAATATAATATATACAAATAAAAAGATGATGAATCATTGAGGAATTTAATACATACACTAAAGATTGCGGAAATAAAATATGGTGGAGAAAAACTGAAGGAGTTGAAGTCAAAGACTAATAAAGATATAACACTAAAAAGAGTTGAAGAATATTATATGAATGGATGGCCAAACAAACTAAAGGAAGCAAATGAAATTAATCATTTTTATAAAATTAAATCAGAATTAGTAATTGAAGATGAATTAGTATATTATGAAAATATGGTAGTAATCAAGAAAAAGTTATCAAGCCGTGGAAAAAACAAATCAGTTAGCTAAACAGCATGTAGACTTGTCACCTGCCAAAGTATTACAAAATAGAATGTTAAGAACAAAACTGCCAAAAAAAGATATACAGGTCAAAAATATAAATATATATGTAAAAGAAAAAATAATAATACAAAACTAAAAAAAAAAATATTTTAATAATAAAGGGATAAAAAAAGAATGAGTATTTGAAGAAAAAAAAGGTATGGTTACAGGATAAATTTTAAGAAAACATTTATCGAGGCAACAATAATAAAGAAGCTAAACTGGCCAAGTTGTTACTTAGTAAAAGATTGGAAGGGGAGATAGTTAAGAGGGAATATAATACTTTTCGAAAAAAGAGAGCAGTAAGTTTAGAGTTTGAGGAGGAAGAAGTTAAAGAGACGAAGAGATAAATAGTAAACAAGTAAGAAAATCAAAGATCACAAGTCAACAATTTGATAGGTTAATATACTATAGATAATAAAATGTAAGTGTATATCATTATTATATGATAAGAAAAAAAAATGTAAATCACTTATTATTATAATTACATTACAAAAAAAAGAATGTATTTCACTATGATAATGTATGACAAATGGGGGAATGTAATGATAAATAATTATTATCATTGTTATTATTATTACGAGGCTGAGAGGTAATGTTATAAGTTTCATAACATTATTGTTAATAGAATATTGCAAACGTACTCTCTTCATTCTGCCGGTATGACCAACACAATATTATGTAGTTATAAAATATAAATGTCGTTTTAAATAATAATTGTTAATAATATTATTACTCTTATACTTGTAATGAAACATTTAATTACAATTATAACAGCTATAGTAGGGAGAATGAAAATTTACCGCTAGAAATATGATAGGAACATTTTTTTTTCGATAAGCAAGGATTGTCAAAGTAAATCACGCAAAGCGTGGTTGACATTATTATTAATAATTCAAAACGCTTTGTTTTCAAAATGTTTGGGACACAATGATAAAAATTTACCTCCGGGCGTGCGGATATCAGTGGCTACTTTTAATCAGTGGCGGCTCGCCGGGTGAGGCAAGTGAGGCACAGCCTCACCTGAAATTTATCATTCTAATAATTTATTATTAACCTATTATAAGTATCTAATAATCAAATTATCTTTCAAAATATTAAAATGAATTTTATACAAAATGTAATTTATAATTTTATCTTAAATCGTAAAAGACAAAAGATAATGGGAAAATAACTGATAACATACAATTTGGGCTGCGAAGTCCCGCGGCAGTACAAGTGTACGGCACTACGCACCCCACCCCACGAGGTCTACAGACTACAGCTAGAATGGACTGTGGTCTGTGGAGCCACGGGCAGGTTAGGTTAGGTTAGGTATTATTAGGTATTATTAGGTACTCGCCGAGTAGCGTTTACGAAGCGAACCGATGAGTCCCGAGAGGCAAACATTTTTATACTTCAGTTACTATATTGACATATAAACATTATGTGGTGGGGGCGAGTTGGAAATATACGGTAGAATGAGGCTGATATAAATTAGCCTCAATGACGTCAGTGGTATTTAGTGGTTAGGTTTATTAATAATCATTCTGTTCAACCCACGTTCGTGGTTCAACTTAAACGACAAAACTGCACATAGATATTATAATAGAAATAGGAATCGATAAGATGTCCTTATGTTCCATTAGTCATTACATACCCTACTATTTTCATAGATTAATTAAACGTTTATCACTTATCAGTCAATATTATTTAATCAATACAAATCTAACAATTTTAATCTATATTAGGATTTACAGTATTTACTATTTAGTATTTACTATTTACACCATTATCGGGCATTATACTATTATAGCTGAATAGCTTGAGCCTTGAATTGTTAAGTGTCATACGTTATTCGCTAAATTCGATTTATATTTTATATTGTAGTTAAGTATATTGTGTAAAGTTTAAATATGTTCCCGTTCAACGATGTGGTTATGTCATTAATCGAAACTCCATTTTCCCGTAGAAGTGAAATTCTAAAAAAACAAATTCTGTTTGCTGGTCGTCCTACAGATAAATTAGATAAAATTTGTATACCCGCTCAGAAAACTAAAACTAAAGTAAGTTCTCGGTCCTTCAATGTATGTTGGTACGATACCCACAAATGGCTGTGTGGTAGTTTTTATAAACAACGACTGTTTTGTTGGCCTTGCGTTTTGCTTGGTAAAGTTAAAAATGTTTGGGTAACTGATGGCTATTATGATTTAAAAAATCTGGCCAGAAGTGTTAAAATGCATGAAGCATCTAAAGACCATATACATAATTTTATGGGATTAGTTCGTTTAGAAAAAAATAAAAGTACTATTGCTGATGCGTTAAATGAAGGGGCTCGTTTGAACAAAACTATTTACAATGAAAATGTAAGAAAGAATAGATTAATTTTATTGCAATTAATTGAGGTAACATTACTCTTGGGGAAACAAGAGTTGGCCTTTAGAGGCCATGATGAGAGATCTACTTCCTCAAACCAGGGTAATTTCCGTGAAGTGTTTAATTTACTTATTAAAAGGAATGATGAATTACTATTACATTACAATAAAATTAGTAATGTGTTCACTGGACAATCCAAAACAATTCAAAATGAAATTATTCATTGTGTGTATGAGTTTGTACTAGATGTGATTAAATCAGAAATTAATGATGTTTTCTTTTTTTCTATTATATCAGATGATACTACTGACATTGTTGAAAAGTCACAGTGTGCAATAACTCTTAGGTATGTTAAAAAGACTGGTGAATTAAAAGAAAGATTTTTAGGCTTCCATGATGTAAGCAGTAGTAAGAATGCTAAAGCTCTTTTTAATTTAATTACAACAGTTCTAGAACCTTTTGATTTTAAAACAAAGTTAATAGCACAGTGTTATGATGGAGCAAGTGTCATGGCTGGGCATATTAATGGACTTCAACAACAAATTAGAAATGAAGCACCCCATGCTCTTTTTACTCACTGTTGTGCTCATAGGCTGAATCTAGTATTACAGCAAGGTAGTTATTGCATACCACAATCCAGAATTTTTTTTTCCACCCTTTTAGGAATATCTGTTTTTTTTAAAAAGTCTCCTAAACGTACATTTGTTTTGGATACTATTATTGGTAAACGTATTCCTGTTGCTAATGAAACTCGTTGGTGTACTCGTTCAAAAATATTAAACTTTGTTGCTTTGAATTTAAATAAGTTAATTGAAGTAATGCAAAATATTATGGATAATCCTGAGTCAGGTATAGAATCCATAAATGGTGCAAAAGGTTTCATAAATAGTTTGAAAAAATTTGATTTTGTTTTTTTTATGGTTGTATTTAAAGAAATATTTAATATAACTGATACTTTGTATGCAATTTTACAAGTCAAGCACTTGGATGTAGTATATTGTATAGATCAAGTTAATACATCTATAAATAGAATTAAACTTTTAAGAACTTTTGAAAGTGCAACATTTTTGTTTAATGAATCTAAAAAAATTAGTACTCCAAAACAGCCCCGGGGAGTAGTTGAAGGGGATCTTTTCAATAAATATAGTGTGTTGCAATATGAAATACTGGATAATATAATCACTCAACTCACTCAACGTTTTCAAGATTTAGGTAAACTCAAATTTGTAACATTAGTCGATTCTTCAAAATTTAAATTCTATCAAACTGCCTTTCCTAATGAAGGACTTGAATGTTTATCTTCCTCTTATAAAGATGTATTTGATTTAACGTTATTAAAAAATGAATTGTCAGTTGTTTATTTTGATTCCCAATTTCACAACCAAAATATTCAAGAATGTGTAAAATTACTAAAACAATTTCAAGATTCTGGATTATTAAGGGAAGTATATAAACTATTTTGCTTAATTTTGACCATACCTTCTACAAGTGTATCAGTAGAAAGAAATTTTTCTTGTCTTAAACGAATAAAAACATACCTAAGAAATTCTATGACGGAAGAAAGATTGTCTTCTTTGGCAACAATAAGCATAGAAAAGGAATTGATCAACTCTTTGGCAGATAATGATGGAAAGTTTTATGAACAAATTATTGATAGATTTTCATTGTTGAAAGATAGAAGAATAGATTTAATTTATAAAAAGTAAATTAGTAAACAGTTATATATTTGTGTTATTAATTAAAAAAACTAGGCTCTCTTATAATGGTTAGTTGTTAGTTTATTTTTGTAATTTGTGATAAATAAAGTTTTATACTATTTTTATAGTAGTTAAGTACAAAAATTAAGAAATGAAATAAATTTTTTTTTCTTTTAAATATTTTCTGTTATATTATTAATCCTACACTGCAGAATTAATTTTGTTGGAGAATCTTTCTTAGGTAGCTAAACTTTTACAACTGTTAAGAACAGTAGGTAATAATAATTAGAAATACCTATACAGATTCTAATACCTTGAAAAAATTTATATTGTATGTTGCATTTATTTTACTAAATTGTTGCCTCAGCCTCACCACTTACGAGACCCACGAGCCGCCACTGCTTTTAATTTAACTTTGCATATGAGGGGGGCTCTAACCATCCTGAAAAAGCTGGCCATCGGCCCACAAATAAACACATTTACCCTACCCATCCACCTCCTGCCTATCTGATGCGCTCTGCTGCCTCCTTTTGCCCGAGTAACAAAACTAAGATTACACCATATAACCGATATAAGTGATAAGTGAAGAGAAATCTGTGCACGGGGAGATAATTTTATGCTATTTAAGTATATGCGGATGTATGACACAAATAATTTTTTTATTTTATTAATCAAGTTATACGAATAAATTGTATATTAAAATCTTCCCTGAATCTAGACCTATTAATTAGTGAAAACTGTATTAAAATCCATTGGGTACTTTTTGTGTTATGCGCGTATATACAAAAAAGGGGGTTCCATTTTATATAGATTGTAAACAAAAAAAAAAATATTAATTTTGAAAACAAAAAGAACAGATCTTTATGATCTATTGTTTTCAAACATTTATCAATCAGGCAAGTAATTTGGAATTTAAGAGTATAAAAGAAGTATCGATTATCTATTGAAGTACACTCACTATATGACTTACTTATTTAATATATATGTAGGGTATATCACTATACAAATTCTTAGAATAACAAATATTTAGTCCTTATAATATAGGATGTCAGATGTCAGATGTGAATGGATAAAATATTAAAACTATATTAACATATTTTAATATAAAACAGTATAAGTGCTGACTAGGTACTTGATCATCTATATTATTATCTCTTCAAACTGATATGATTGCAATATCAATAATTATAGGTATTATAGTCATACTGCCATAGACCGATATAATTAACCATAAACCTTAACATGATGCTCAGTGCTCTCAATCTCACATAATATTATGAATCTAGGAAGTTTCCCATCCCTCGACCGTTTTGCCACCGACACAATGGACGTTTTCCCCCAGAACGGGACGATTCTGGGGATTAATAAAAAAATTTAAATATTAAATAATAATAATATACAATCTCAATATAATTCTATTGCATTAATGTATAAATATAATTCAATAATATACTCCATAATAAAACTTTTGCTATTTGCCAAATGCCAATCCAAATTCACTAATATAAATAACAAAAATATTAAGCGCTATACAATTACAAGCAATAAATACTTATAATTTTTATCCTGGTAATATAACTCACTGGAATTTAAAAATTTTAAATACCATTATTTGAAAAACCTTCACATAACTTTTTTAGCCTGTCGTATTTACCTAAATTATTACAAAAACCTCCTACTCTTTAATTTAAAATGTTTATTGATGCACTTGAGTTGCTCATCTGTAAGGCTTCAATAAAAACGTGAATGATGATAGTCAATAGATAAGATGATTGCATATTTCGGGTAAAACAAAAGAACCTATTTTCCAACTTATTATTATGTGTAAAAAAAATAAATGTTGATTCAGGTATGAAATGTCTCTGTCCGGGGGGGGGGGAGAAACGTCCAGTACTGCTAAAATTGGCAGGGGTAAACATCTAAATACCATTAATTAAACATAACCTAACCACAATTTATTTTAAAAATCATTGTATTATGTATTAATTACTCTCAAATAAAGGAATAATGGTTAGGTAGACTTTGTTTTTAAGAATCTTAAATAAAACAATAGATGTACTTCTTTAATGATGTTGATAATTGATTTTAATGTAAAATAAAAAAATGGGAATTAATAACTAACTTTAATTAAAAATATTTATCTTTAGTTTGTCCCCCTGCAAAATGGTTGAATTTATTAAAACCTATAATTTTGATTAGAATAGAGAAGTAGAAACATAATAATTCTGTTGGTATTTACTGAATGTTTATTAAATGTTCATAATAAGCCACATATACTATGACATAAATTACAAAACAAAAATAATAGAATGAATAAATTGTACATAATATGAAAAATCTAATTTTTAGAAATAAATAATAATTAACAATTTTTGTATTTGTATTTGTTTTTGTTTGTTGGAAAAATACACGCAGTTTTTTATTAAATAAGTATGTATGGAAAAAAAAAGATTCAACTTAATATGAAAGATAGTTAATTAATTGAGACAGTTAACAGTCAAATCATTGAATTATGGAGGACTAATAAATTACAATTCATCTTCTTCATCCTCGTCGGGCAATTTAATTTTTTCCGCCATTTCTATTTCAAATTGATTTATCCATTTTATCCATTCAGGGTGCATCTTAATGCATGGGGGTGTAGGAGCAGGCATTTCAACAAATTCCAGGTTGGGATCGCCGATTAATTTTCTGGCCATCCACAGAAATGGTTTTTCGTAATTGTATTGACTCTTTGCACTAATTTCGTAATACTATAAAAAAAGTTTTAATCAATTGTTTTAATTTAAAATAAAAGTAAACTATTTACTTGTAAATTCTTCTTCTGGAAAACCATTGATTTAACTTTTTCATTTACATTTGTCATATCCACTTTGTTTCCACAGAGCACAATCGGAATGTCATCACATATTTCCACCACATCTTGATACCAATCGGGTACATTTTTGTAAGTGTCAGCACTGGTAACATCAAACATAATGACAGCACATTGACCCTAAAAAACATTTAATTTATAAACTTAACATGATAGTGCAACTCTCTTTGTGATATGAAATATGTGTTCTCTATTATTTTTAGTTAATATGCCATATGTAGGTAGTACTCAATATTATATAAGACATCATTTTAAAGTCTTGTACATTACATACCTTAATACCTTAAATTTCAACTTACCCAAACGTTTAAGATGATGAAAAAATTGTGAAAAATTATGAAATATTTTTCAATAGAACTGTATACAATGACAAATATATAGATACCGATGAATCCCCGATATTTATCAAAAGATAATTTAATAGTTTCCTAACTAGTAACAGTTCAATCATCTTAATTTATACACATTTTATGATAACTTTCTATTATTATTATTATTATTATTATTAAAGTAGGTGTATTAAATAAAAAATATAAAATTGTATGTACTGTCTATTGATATACATTACTACAAGATAAAATTTGTATACATACTTACTAAGATACACACAAATCATTTTATTTCTTTTAATATAAGCAACACAATACAATTACATGAATATAGGATCTTTCTCTGAGATCTCCAAATGGCTCTTCTACTGCAGCATCCCAAACATCGAATTGAATAACACCACGAGTAGTATGAAATTTCAATGGATATACTCCTACTTCCGAGGTTGAAACATATTTCTTTTCAAATTCACCCGTCAAAAGACGTTTAACGAATGTTGTCTTGCCGGTACCTAAATCGCCAACCAATAGACATTTGAACACAAGTACACCATCGAGTACATCCATTATTACTCTTTTCTGTATAATATAAATACAATTATTGTTAGATAAATGAAAACAATAAAAATATAAAGGTTACACACAAGGTTTTCAATAATTTACAAAATATAGATTTATAGGTAATCATTTTATGGAATAAATCATAAAAAAAAATTAATCAAAAAATACTATAAAGCACATAGAAAGGCATTAAACATGGTTTTCTTTCTTTGAAAAGTGACTTTTAATAATTTTATCTCATATTTGTATTTTCAACAAGCAACAACACATATAATTGTGCGTACATTTAACTACTTGTTTTTTCCTAAAAATCCAAAACAATATACAATTATCACAATAAAATAACGCTGTAAACTCAATAATTTTATTGAGTAACCAAAGAAAATGGTTTATTGTCTTGATAAAGACATCTAACTTAATAGTCAAATAAACACTCAGTAGTTAACACCATAGACATAAATAAACAACTAGATAGCCGACTATCCAGAAACACTGTACAGAATTTTGAAGTTAGTCCGCCATTTGCCTAAACGACAATGTTTACATTGTTATGTGATGCCACGATATAGATAATCACGATTAAAGATATATTAGGTATTTCTTTAATTGTGTAGATAACTGACAAAAACCATAGACATAAAGGGTTTCGGTTTTTTTTTTATCATTTACTATTATCACATTAAAATATAAACATTGCTGTTTAACCATATGGCAATTTTGTCTTCAAAGATAAACCAAAGTCGTCTATCTATAGTTGTTTATATATGTCTATGGTTAACACTAATGTTGACGATAATTTGTTTACACTTACAGTATAATATACTCGTCTTATAAACGTATAGTAAATGACATGGCTCAGAGAAAAATATTTTGAAAGAGAGTTGCATCTAATGAATCTTGTAAAGTACACAAGCCAAAACGAATTAAATGGTTAACCAAGACTTATTTTTTTTTTTTTTAATTGATCTCAAATTAGCTGTTTGCAGGGGAAAACGGTTTAATTGTATAGAACACGTGTATGTTAGGCAGAATTTCTAGCGGGCACCTGTAGGTTTTTGCCCGGGAGGAGGGCGGCGGCCTGTTTCTCCAGGCACCGTGACAGCCCTAAGGGCGACGCCGCCCGTGACCGAGATTCGAACTAGCGCGTCGCAACCGATGCTTTGGTAGACTCGACCACTTCATCAGTCCCCCGACTTATTATATGAATTGAATATAACATTTTGTAAGAGAGAAACCACCACAGATTATAACCTAAGATTTTATGAACCTGGATTTATGAAAAGACGCCCAGTATAATGTACAACGGTAGAAGCGATGATAATTGTTCACTACTTAAAGTTTAAGTCTAAGTCTTAAACACTAACAATGGCGAAATAATGTGACTACTTACGTGTTTTATAGATTTGTGCAAGCAATGTCGGCGAAAGCAAATGTAGTAATGACAATACCGTACAGTTCAACTGTAACAGATTCTACAGCTTCGTCGGAGTCGTGAGAAAAACGTGCTCGGAGTTGTGATTGTAAACAAAGAATGATGGCGCCTGGCCGTCAGAAGCGTAAGCGACCGTCCCCGATGTCGTCAAAACTCGTTACAGAAACTGTAAAGATTTACAGTGTTGCCAACGGTGTTGGGACTTATCTAGATGAAAATTTCATCATCTATTATCTTAACTAGATTAAAATATACGGGTCATCTTTTTTTTTTATCTTAGATGAAAACTTCAGTTATCCATATCAATTTATCTAGATAATTTTTTATACATGTGCATTTATTTACTATAATCGTATATTCATTATACATTTCATGTTCAAAATCAAAAACCATAGTAATGTAATGTAACAGAAGGTATATATTACAAATTTAAAGCAGTCACAAAGTATAAAAGATATCTTGATAGTCAATAGTCAATGGTTGTAGTTGTTGGCTGTTTTGTTATTTCCATTTATTAATTTAATGTTCTTGTAGGTTATTACCATTGATTATAATAGAACTATTTAAAATCAATGCTATTACTTATTAGTTATTTCTGACCGACGGTGGCGACAAAAAAACAATATTAAATAAATACGTAAATAATTTACGTATTTCTGCGTAAACCGTTTTATATTAATCTATATAAATACTATTATGTATATTATATATATACATTTACTATACGTATAATATTATTATGTATATCCTGTGAAAACATACGGGTTTGTTCCATACAAGACCCTCGACTTCGACGCATTACTGCAGTCATAAATATAGTCATATATTATAATATATTTATATGTATGATGCACCAAAAATATCCATCTAAATTTTATTGTGAGGTATTAATGTATAAAAATACACTACAGTAAACAAAATATTATGATATACTTTAGAGTTTTGATTATCAGAACACAGTCACAGTGTATAAAGTATAATACATTTATGCGAGTACACAACGTGGACAGTAACGTAGTTTTCTCGTGTTGTTGTTATTACCTATTAGTTATATAGGTACCTTTCCTTATTTCGGTTTATGAATTGTGATATTTAAAATATTTAAGTATGAAGTGGCTTTTGACTGGAATATATATGAATGATTCTAAAAAATCCAGAAGTGGATCAACGGGATTTGATTTAGCTGAAGTAGCTGTAGACGAACTGGTCATTTAGATTTCGAAGATTAATTGTATGGAAAAATGTTTATTGATAAATCGTTATACTCATCATTCCAGTAGCGTATTTAAGGTTGCCGAGGGACCCGGCCTTTTCCTAAGTCTGTATACTATACAGGCAAGGCTAAATATTACATGGTGCTTAATCTAATGGTCCACCCATTGGGATATTTCTGGCTATGCCACTGCATCATTTTTTCCAAGTATAAAAAAATACTATAATAATTTGTATCTATTTTTTTATCAAGATAAATCACATTTATCTATTATCTTTATCTAGGTCAATTTCGATCAATAATCTATTATCTTTATCTAGATAATATTTTTGTTATCTATTCCCAACACTGGTTGCCAAACATAAGTGTGGTCGCCGTTGCTATTTGTATTTTCGGGCGCCATTGTTTGAATTAAAACCATCGGATACTGTTTTGTCTACATTTTACTTTACCCTACCGTCTAAATAAAATATTTTTTATTCTCTTCGAGTGTACCTTTTGATGCTGAAAACGATCGTTAAATTAGAAATTGGAAGTTTCAGCTGAATTATGAACGTTATGGTGAAATCAATTGTATGAAATATCATATAAACACAAAAGTGTTAATAATAGCTCCATACGTAATTATACTATTATATTGTGTGCGCAATGGTATAATATAATAATGCATTGGGTTAAGAAGGTTTATCGAGGTACCCAGTTTCCCGGTTCGATCCTACTATTTTTATCGACAAGCTTTTTATAGTATATACTATATACCTATTATACCTACTAAATTCTAAGATGACTAGAACTGTAATCAAATGGGTAATCGGGAAAAAATCCCCAAGGTTATACCTAAATGTTGGATATAGCTGTCAAAAATAATTATAATAAAAATGTATACAATTGGAATGATAGCCGATAGGTCAGACCTCAGTTTTGCATAAAACAAAAAGCATAATGATAATAATAATAATAATAAATGATAATAAAAATATATAAAATTGGAATGATTGGTCAGACCTCAGTTCTCCATAAAATAAAATAACATTACACCTTAGAACATATTTTCCAAATTAATCAGTTTACTTCCGTATGTTATAACTTACAGATATTCAAAAATCTCCAATGTTTAGGTTATTTTCATTTTGTCTTCTAACTAACTTTTTCAGTCGGATGTTAAAAGTTTTAATGTTGCTTCTTTTTTACTACTCTCTTCGGGTTCACCTTATAATTAATACCGAATAACAACAGAAAACAATTTATCAATGACTGGAACATAACATTGGTGAATTAATAATTATATAATATAGTTATTTTTGTAAAACTGTGACTAAATACTGGGTACCAGAGCTATGCACCCGAATCATTTATTCGGATTTCGGGTGCTAGATGTATTCGAGTGTTCAAACACCGAATTAAGAAATTCAAAGAAATGTTTGTGTTTTAATAACTGTTTTTATACGGGTTAATATTGGTTAATACGGGTGTCGAGTAGTCTAGAAAAAATATAATTATTTAAATTTTATTGAAGGCTAAGCCCCACACAAAAATTTAAAAAAACTGATTTATTATTTACAAAGAAATATGAATTATTGACATTTGAATTCTCAACTCGAATGCTACAAAATTATATATCACATGAAGATTGTAAAAAACAAAATTATTCGGGTTTCAGCCGACAAAAAAAAATGAAATGGTTAGAATGAAAAATATACATGAAAATGTTAACATGTGTATAAAATGAAGTTTTTGTAAATTATGGTAAAAAAAATACTTTTTTTCTCAATTGAAATGGTTAATGAGATATGAGTAAGCTAGTATAGTAAGCATTGTGTGAAGCACTCTGATAAACATGTGTATATAATGTTGGGCCAAAAGGGCCGTATATTGTTATTATCATATCATATTATTGTCTGGCCAGAAAAGGGCCGTTCTTTATATATTATTGTGTATTATTTAATTTCGTATTGTGTGTTATTTTAAATCCGTAAAATAATACAAGTCAGTTACCAGCAACCGTGTTACCTTTTTATTTCATTGGCCTTCCATTAGTTCTAAGCCTACACACACTCATACAATATATACACACCTCCACACCACCACCGCACACTCTAGTCTTGCTCGGTGGCCCCGTCCACTTCTTTAGAGTCGCTAAACATAATACGCACAAATACACAGGTCGGTGTGTGAGAGTAGCGCTACGGAGTATTTTGGTGACCGGGCATCACGGACAATTATTGTCTCAATTGTTATCAATGTATAGACAAACTTATAAGAAATCTTGTATTCAATTTTTAAATATTAGATATAAAAATAAAACTTTTAAAGTATCCCTAACTAAAAATTATTTGCTAATTTTCGTGATTTTTACGAATTTTGTCAAAATTCTAAGTTTAAACGCTCTTACAAAAAATTATTGTGGACTTACGCTGGCCTTTTTTTTTTTTATTTGCACTAACAACTACTTATAAACAAATACAAATATATAATGCTGGAATGCAAATGTTGAATTAACATTGAATTCTAGGTATCGTGTAATTTTGCAAAGCACTATAACTATCGAACGCCGAAGAGGAAAAAACTACATTAAAAAACGTTCAGTTTCAAACAACATTTAAACGTTAAACGCTTCGCAATGATTAAATTTCTAGAACGTTTACACTCATAAGTTGACTAACGTTTAATATTCATACAACGGTAAACGATATTATTATTTTTGATTTAAGCCCTTGTTGAATTTGAATGTGTCATAACTTTTGAATAAATACAATATATTAAATGATTATAATAATATTATATTATTAGGTATATTATATTTAAATATATTATTTATAATTATGTAGGTATTTACCTATTTATGTAGACGCCTTATTCTTACAATAAATTGTGATGACTGTTGTTATAATAAGACTATAAGGCATACCGCATACACTATAGGTGTATTGTTTTTAATAAGAAATAAATGTTGGTAAAATAATAACTGTGTAACATATTTTTTTCACAATAAACATAAAATAACACTAAAAAATAATAAAATACACAATTGCTTGCTACATTATTATGATGATTTAGGGAAGTATTTAACTAAATAATAATATGTTAAATTGTTGCTCCGTAATATTTTTTGGCTTTGTGCATTGCTGATATCTGTGAACAACTATCTAAATTGTTATTATATCTGAGTTGAAAAATAAACTTTTTCAACATTCCTCACGCTTTTGATCCTAGCAATGACATCGATATTCATTCAGTACATTTTTTTTAATCTCTTGTGTAATACTTTACCATACGTAGTTATTTTTTAACAATGGATTATTTTGTGCATTGTTTATAGTACAGTGTACCTATCCCAAAAGTCCTGTATCGCCATTAGTATTTCCACGGAAAAGCAATATCTTTAAATGGAGTTCATTATTCGGTAACAAATATGAAAAAACTGATTGAATATCATAAAATCAACAAATCAATTTTTTTATACAATTAAGTCTTAAACATTTTCAAGATAGGCACTTTATTGATCATATTTTTGAAAACACTTCAAAAATAAAAATATTGGACTATATAATATATTTGTAAAAATAATTGATTTTTTTTTAGTTATTAGATTTGTATAACACATTAGTTATTCTTAAAAATGTAGTCTCATGGGCTATTTAAATTGTTCATGAAATAAATTACAAATTTGAATACTATTCGGGGTTGAAAGTGAGGTGATTATGTGTTACACAATCACTGTTTATATATTGCATTCACTATAATATATTATTCGAACCATATTATATTAATTATTATAACATTTAATCGCCGGGCGGCCTTCGTGTGAGTCCAAATCAACTGCACGTCTCGCTGGCAACGCAAATCACAGTCGAATCGGTTATAATTTTCTACTTTTTATTATCATTATTGAAATTTTCATTATTGAATGTTAACGTTTTATATAATTATGGTGTATCGTACATTGCAAATAATGTTTGATTTTGTCTTTTGTCTTTTTATTTGTCGTTAGGTACTTATTTTGTATTGAATTCAAACTGCGTATAGGTACATACAAGTACGTGGTGAGTATTTTCGACAGACAAAATATTTTTGTCCCGTTGGTCATGCATATGAAAAAGAAATCATGTTCTGCGCAGTACGGTTCTATTTTGTTAAAAAAAATAGTGTGTTCTTAATTCGAAATCAACGTGCCCATCCTCTGCCGTTAATATTAATGGTTTTGGGGTTCAAATTGAAGATAGTAAACATTTACAAAGACACACACATTCGCGGTACACTTGTAAAACTACTGTATATATTTTTAGGGTTTTCTGAACCTGCCTGTGTGGTCATTGTCGATCAACACTGCAGTGTTATATTGAATTATATTCGTATCGAATCTATGATAGAAAGGCAGGGCCGGTGTTTGTACTCTTAATAATATTCCATAATAACTATAACATAATGCATTGTATATTATACAGCCGTGTTTGTGCATCGCTTACTCGATCGCCTAATCACGCCTTCTAATAAATTTGGCTCGTGACACATAGATAATGTTACGGTAATATTAGAGGCAGGGTGATTCTATATGAGTAAATACTGCGTATAATCTAGTGACTACAGTATGTAATATCCATTATTTAAATGGTCGACGCGTCGACGTGAAAGAAAAAAAAAATAATGAGAATCGTTTGAAAAAAAATCAGAGTGCATTTAAATGAAGTTATAAATCTGCTTTACTTCTATAGTTTTAATAATATTCGTAGATATGGCAAAACTGCAAAATATATGTTTCACCAAAAAGAATAAAATTATAGCATTTCTTTAACCATACTATGTAATATGCATTATATCGCTTCTGTTGTTTAGTAGTACCAATATGTATTTTTTATTTTTCAAAAGATTTTTCGATACCTAAATATATTACTTTACATTTTATATGCATTTTTACATTTTACATTTTTGCATTATTACATAATGTATTAATTCTTCACACCTTTTTATATGTATATTAGTTGTTTCGGGGTAACAAGGTTATTTGTTGTATAAAAAATTATTCGGAACACCATGCGTTTGCTATGAAATCTCAAGAATATCAAGATTTCAAAAATAAGATTTTGAATAACTCCATTATTTATAAATAAAAAAGGATGAATGCTCGGTGAATCACTCTGTATACATATAATTAATGATATTATCTAGTGCTCGTTATTGCGATGCTGTTAGGATCCTATAAATTTTAATCCTATACATGATGGATTATGTTTTATTATTGTTTGAAAAGTAAGAAGTACAAGTCAAGATATGCAATATGGGTGGTTAAATTTATTTAGGTGAGTCTGCAAACTGTAAAATATGAACTCCCTTATTATTCTTCATCTTCCTCTAATATGTCAAAGTCGTCATCCACATCTGAGTTTGGCATTTTGGCGACAGATTTTTTACTTGTCGTTACACTAATCGGTTCGGTATTATCGGTGGAGTCCGTGCTAAGACTTCCAGACTCCTCTTTCTTCCTGCCAACATTTTTTTTATCACTGCCATTCTCGCTTCCGTGGACGCTATTTGTGGCGCTTTTCTCGAAAAAATCGTCTAATTTGGGTTTGGCTGGTTTTTTTGGTAACGAATTAGTCGTGGTTCCAGTGTCGACAAACCAAGGGTCTTCGTTGGATTTGGCTTTTTTCTTTGGTGCTTCGAACGTGGATTCTGTTTTAGTGAACCAATCGTCATCGGCCTTAGGTTTGGCTGGTTTTTTCGCAGACGGTTTCGGTGCGTTTCCCTCAGCAGTACTAGCTTTTTTAATATTATTAGCAATTGGCGGTGGCGTAGATTTTTCAGGGACGTCATCTTCAACATAGTCATCTTCCTCCCCGTCATCTCCCGTAAAGAAACTAGTCAGTGAACCAACAATAGAAGTCGGCTTCTCCGAATTATCTCCTCCCACTGGCCCTGGAGTGTCACTGAAACAAAATGTAAAAAAACTATAGTGTTATAATATGAACAACTTTAGTATCGTAATTTAAAGTACGATCGTACTCAAAAATATTTAAAAACTTCGTGTTTAGGCCTCTAATGTTTATTTTGTATATACAATGTACTACACTTTTAGTGTATAAAGCTGCATATGTATTTAGTATATTTCTACGGTTCTCATCTGTATTTCAGACCTATAGTCAACTAAGTTATTTTTTTAACCAATATGTTAGCTACGCAGCACCGCAAGTTTTGATTTTGTACATGAAAATTCCAAAAGATTATGTGGCGAGATGTAATAACGATAACTTTTTTTGTATCATAAAGGAAGTTCAGATTTTAGTCATTAATTCCTGGTGCTGGAATGACGTTTAAAAAGTTATAGCGATTATATTTCGTTATTAAATGGTAACAAAATCTTGTGAAATGTTCGAACAAAAATGTACCTATGACTTCTTACAAATTACAATTATCATAGGTATTTTTATGGTTAGAAAAAATGTATAAAAATTCTCTGTTAAAAAAGAGTTAAGAGTAGTTTTTGTCATCTGTTTTCAAACAATATATTTTTAAATCATAAAAGTAATCATTATTATTGTGTTTATAAATATTTAATTTTAAGATATTTTTTTTCTGATTTGTATACCTACGAAATTGTTTTATTTATTTTAATAGTCATATTAATATAATCTGTAAGACTGTAACCAATGGCAACCATTTAAATAGACAAAAAATGTTGAATGCCCGTGAGTCAAAACTAAATGCATCATTAAGATTCCATCGGTACATTTTTAGACTATTTAGATAAAAATAAATGCTAACTTAATAGGTACCTAAGTAGGTAATGTGAATTTCACCCTAAAAAATCAGATTCAAACATTGTATTGCGCAGTTATACTGAAATTTACACAGAAATAATAAAAAAAAAATTAAAAATTAATTTGTCAACAACCAATATGGTTACACGTCTTTTGAAAAAGTAAATATTACCTACGTCTTGTACTCTTATCAAAATAGAACGTCAACCTTACAAATGTAAGTATTAGTACCCATCATTATCTACAAGAAAATAATCAAATGATCTGCGGATTATTCCATTTAGGAAATAATAATAATAGTCTATGCATATCTATGACATTTAGGTAGTTTTGTTATTGATTTAGCCTTAAATTGGGAAAGGAAATGAATGCAATTATAGTAATAATTAGTTATAACTTTAAATTTAAAATTAAAATTGGTCGAAAAATAATATCATCGGAGTTTGTGTATATTTTAATGGTCAAAAGTTAGCAACAATTGAATTTAATTTTGTTTTTCACAGGTTAAAAACCTTCTTCATTCGTAATTGTTCTGTAACAATAGTTTTCACAACAGTATAGATTACGCGGTGATCGAAAAAAAATTCCCATACTATAGGAAAAAAAATCCCGGGATAAAAGTTTAATGAAAAATTTACCGGATTACTGTTTCTTGTGCCATTTTACAGTTGTACATTGTATTTTAGATGCTGCAGGAGATTCTAGAAATATTAAAAAACTATAACAAACCAGGACCGTAGAAAAATGTCTACACAATTTATATATACAATTACAAGCAGGCGAAATCGGTGTGTTAGATTTTTTAACAGCCGTGTCATAATATACAAAAAAGGTGTGATTAAAATATTATATTGTAATTTGCATGTATTTATGTTTATTTATGTTTTGTTTTGCGATTATTTATTTATTGCTTATACTTATTTATTATTTTAAACTTTTTTAATTAGACTTTTTCCTAGTGTGGGGCTTTTATTACCGGAACTTTTTTTACTGGGACTTTTTTTGGGGGGATTCAAATTACCATAGTCATTACTGCGTAGGTTTGAAGTTGTATCCACCCAGTTGACTTTTTTCGCAATTCAAACTCATTAGTCATTATAATTATAGACCAATGCGGCAATAGGTATACACTGGAGAGCCTTAATATAATTTATTTATTATTAAGGCTCTCTAGTATACACTATGCACTAATTATGTTCACAATTATTAGCTATAATAAAATAATGATAAATAATATACTCTTCACGGTTCATCTATATTTTCATAAGTAAGTAAGAAGAATTGTCAGAAATTGAAGTTGTTCAAAATATTTAAATACCTATTTACAGGTCCCAAAAAATCATTTCACTTATAGCTCCAACGGTATATTTAGCGAGAAGGCCCTATGCACATCCAAACTACTCCAAATAGTAATTTTACCGTCGAGTAAGTAGTACAAGACTAAATCAAATAAGATGCCAGGCGGTGATTGATTACAAATTTACAACTACGCTGTAAACAATACCTTTTGAACATGGACATCATGCCCAAGGCCGATTCCAAAAACGCTTTCGTATCTGGCCCGGTGGTCAAGTCTGACACCAACCCCGCAATGGTTTTCAACATCATTTGTCCATTGCTGCCCACGAATACATCTAACACCATCCGCACGTCTTGGGGAGACAACGGCAATTGATCGAGCAAGCATGCTGTAGACGGACTGCCGTCCAAAACAGTGAGAACCAAACGCACCATGGCTGCGCTCACCTTGGGGTTACTCATGAACTTTTCCATAATCAAGGATATCGAAGTGGTCACCTCGTCGTCTGTGGCTGCGAAAGTCGATACCGTACCCACATCATTGATGAACTGGGTCACGCTGCCTTTGGCTCCTTTGCCAACTTTGGAACCTTTTACGAAAAAACACGAAATTCTGTTTCATTTGCGTTTTTATAAAATATCATATGAACACTAAGCACAATAATATATATAATACAATATTAACACAGTTGTCACAGTATTGGGGAAGTTACTTTTACTTGGTTAGTAAATTACGTTATTAATTACCTTTCAAAATAATGTAAATAAATTGACTTAAAAACGTAACTTCATTGCAATAAACAACTTTCGAATTATAGTTATTTTTTTTCTCAAAATATATCATTAAAACTTTATATAATAATTATGTTATCAATATAAATTAACTATGTAATAATATTAAACAATATGAAATAATAAAGATACTGTAATTTTACATGAATAAAATTGTTGATGGGAATTCACAATTCCATATCAATAAAAACTCTTTTCTCGTCAAATAACTTTTACAGAAGTGTAGGTATATAGATACGATAGAAAAAACGAACTTTCATGAAGCTGTATATAACATTATATGTTATAAATTGCCAATTGGTGCATAAGATCGATTAGCTCCCCCCTCCATTAAATACGTAATTTTACTACGAAAACGTTACTTAAATCACTTTTAAGTGTATAACACGTACACATACAAATATACAATACAATATAATTTAATGACCATCAATAAACTGGAAAAGTAATTTTGTTACAGTAACTTGCTACTTAGGTTAAGTTACTCCCCAATACTAGCAGTACCTATACTATACGTTTCCGGTGACAAATTAAATGACGCACGTGGTCTTACCTTATCTTAAAACCCTTTAAATTTAGACAGTAAATGAATCAATCTGTTAAGATTTCTTATTTCGTAAAGTTATAAAGATTTAACGGTTTAAAATATAGTACCTAACTAATAGTATACCTACGATGTATGGATGCGTATTTCCCATGTTTACTCAATCAACATTTTACTTTGGAAACATGTGCCTAGGTATAATGTTGGGTTAGGCTGGTTTAATTAAAACTTTAAATGTGTTGGTTGTTGGTTAGCCTGGTTAGGTTACACACCTATGGATATTACGATTATCATAATTATCAGCATAGTCCAGTTAATATATTAATATTCGATAGTTAACAAATTTGAAAATTGATACTAAAAATTATAAGTCATTTAAAAATGTATCTTGCTTTTATTATTGATGTATATGTAATTATTTCTTTTATCGCTTGATTATTTAATATTGTTTAATGTAATATTATATTTTACCAAAATGTAATGAAATAGTAGAACTCTCTCTCTCTCTCTCTCTCTCTCTCTCTCTGTTTAGCACAAATAAAGATTTTAAAGAGAGAATCGATACATAATAATATTTAATATATATTCATACATTCTTATTTTGTTAAATATTTTTGTAATTTTTTTTTATTATTATGAATTTTAATATTTATAAACTATTAGTCTATTATTTTATGATTTATTAAGACATTATAAAGTATTAATATCATGGAATATATTATATTTAATATTGGACACTATATTCTCAATGTTAATACATAGGTACCTACGAGTTTGTATTAAGTTTTCGCAGTAGTCCAATTTTTGGCAAAAATATACATACAATTTTAAGTATAAAATGACTGAACTATTAAGTATCAAACAGAAAACGTGTTAATGCCTATTGCCTTTTATAATATCTTGGTACCTTTAAATTTAACTGCCCGAAATGGTGACCAAAATCAGAGTGAATCAATCTAAAAAATAAGTCATAGAAAAAAATAATGTTCGTTTCAATTGTGCGTCTGTTATTTATTTATATTCATACATTTTTAGGATAGGAATTTCGTTTTTCAAATTGTCTTATATGTATAAATTGTATGCGTTTGAAATAAAAAATATGAGTCTCAAACAAAAAAATCGAGTAAGTGGATGTCGCTGTGCTGTACGGTTAGCTTACAGGCGGGTCACTGTAATGGATGGTGTTAAATTTGAATTCAATGACACGAAAATATGAATTCATTACTATAAACAATTTGACCGAAGGTGGTCGGGCAGTCTATGATATTACCAAGTAGGTATCTATATTTTATGATTATATTATTGTAATTAAATTAATTTATTTTACTATTATCCGTTACTCATTAGTATAGGTACAGGTATTACAGTAGGTTAAATTTATTGTTGTCGAAAAATTGCAATTTAAAATGTCATTGTATGTATAAAATATAATAATATACCTAGTCTAAAAGTTTCAAGTATCTACGAATAATATTTTTAAATAACAACAAAATAACTAGAATCGTTATGGTTTTCCACTTACGCGTAACCTTGTTTTAAATTTTCAATATTTTGCTGTAAAATTTGAAAATGTTGTAAATATTTAACCACAAAATAATTTGTAATTTTTCAATTTGATAATTTTTTTCCAAATTTAAACTTAAAATAGTTATAAAAACAAATTGTGACCATTCATTTTTATTATTTTTCAACTACCATTGGAACAATATATTAGGAGCCTTGTACTCAATTTTCAATTTTTTTTATCTAACAAATACAATTTTAATGACATTTATGGAAAAAAAAACTACAAAAATTGGAAAAACTGAAAATATCAGTGCACAGCTTTACAACAACTCAAAATAGTTTTATTCAATTTTATAGTACATATAAAATGCTGATACAAACATTCAGTGATAATTTCATGTATATACGGTGATTTGTTTTAAGAATTTAAAATGTTTACCGATGACCCAGTGCACCAACTAGACTATAACTTCCCCATCGAACAAGAGACTGAAGTTGAAAATCGAAGCATTACTATTCGACTACTTATACATTCTGTACACAGGCACCAAAAATAAAAAACATACATCATTGTAAAATCAATACATTCATCGTTTCGCTCGGAATCTAAAATGTTATTGTAATTGTAAAACATACTATTTACGCTAATAACCAATGTTGTTAAAGTGAACTGATCGAAAAAAAAGGATGATAAAGTCATAAAAATATCAACACAAATCGATAATAGCGTAGTTAAGATCGTACATAATTTGGCACAAACACAACATGTTTCAAGAAAGTTCACGCCCTACGATTTTGACGCACTATCTGAGCATTTGTTTTAAAATTTTGAAGACGTTATAAACGTTTTTATAAAAAATATTGTTTAATTTTAAGTTGCCTATAATATATTGTTATAAATCCAGGAAAATAATCTCATTGACGAGATGCACTTGCTGACGTCTGGCGTACGAGGTAGATACGAGCAAACTCCGCGAGAGTATTGCAATTTCGACATGTGCGCACGATAAAAGTAGTGAATTTGGCCTTACAATATTTGTACACGTGTAGCGTGTTGTGTGTAAGTGCATGTATTACACCAACGCCTATGACATAACTCTGTAGGTAAACGATAAAATAATTAATTGTCCCGTAAAGAATTTGAACTTCAAACATCAATTGATGGATGGGTGTCCAAAATATATTATAACTAAAACATGGGCATCGACTAGTTAAAAAGCTTAAGTTAAGTTAACTAGTTTGCTTAGTTTTAACTCATTTAACTGATTAATCGATTTTCTAATTGACTTTAGAACTCTAGATTAACAGTGACTGTTAAAATTACTTAGATTTGTACAGTTTATTGAAAATAAATTCATACATTAAAAATGTATTTAAATTGTTGATTGGTTGTGTAATGCATGCGTAGATACGTTAATTACTACAAGGGATTTTTAAAGAAAAATAATCTAATATATATATATATATATATGTTACGGGCAAAGTGGAAAATTCGGGCAATGTATACAATGCCCGGGCATTGTACACAGTGACCGGGCATTGTATACAATGTCCGAGGTATATTGGGCAATGTAAATTGTGAAGTATTTATACAAATAATCTGCATGATATTATTTAACCTAATCAATGATATTATATACTAATAATTATTATACTCGTTTATATGGTTATTTATATGTGAGTATTACAATTTTTTTTTAATCAATTAAATTTTAAATGTATTTAAAGGTTGTTCAGTTATATGATATTATACATGAAGTTCATTTGTCAATTGGACATGGAGGTAGAAATAGAATGGAACACGAGATTAATAAAAAGTACAAAAATATAACTAGAGATGTAATAATGGTATACTTAAATAATTGCGAATCGTGTAAAAAGAAGGGAAGTACAGCTAAAAAAAAGGGTTGGTTGTAAAACCAATCATATCTTCTAAAATGAATTCTCGCTGTGAAATTGACTTGATCAACATGCAAGCACAATCAGATGTCGATTATAAATTCATATTAGTTTATCATTATCATCTAACAAAATATATTATGCAGATTATTTGTATAAATACTTCACAATTTACATTGCCCAATATACCTCGGACATTGTATATAATGCCCGGTCACTGTGTACAATGCCCGGACATTGTATACATTGCCCGAATTTTCCACTTTGCCCGTAACATATATATATTTGATTCTAATTCTTGATAAAATAGTATTATACATCAATAGATAAAGAACATTATTTATGTAATTGAAGTGGTACTTATTAAAAATGTAGATTCACCTTTTTAACGGAGTTAAGTTTAACATTTTTATTTTAACTTTAAACTTAAAGATTTAAATTTATTTTTTTTAACTATTAACTTAACTTGAGTTGAGTTAATTTATAATATTATTTATTATGTCTGTTGTAGTGTTGTTAATGATGCATTTAAAAAATGCATACGCCCCAATTGCTCATAATAGTGTATTATTATTAATTAATTCGTCGATTTCATTGTAAATAAATTTAAATAAGATTTGATTTTACTATGATGTGTGTTTCATTGAAAGTTTTATTTTGTTAATATTTTTATATGAAGTAAAAAGAAAAAAATTCTAGATATCAAAATAACAACTAACAAGGAAAAAAATGAAGAAAATAACAATTTATATGCAGAATCAATTTTTGGAAATCGATTTCAGTTTTTTGTTGTGAATCAAAAATGGAAAGGTCTGTGGGGACTAGAAATTTTCACCAAATATTCACTAGACTTAACATATATTTAAAAAACTCCTATACTGTTTTATACATGTTGCCTGGAATTTGACAGATAAATGTACTGATTTTATAATGATTGGTGTTTTTACAATAACTGCAGGTATAAGTACATAAAATGATCAAAAGACACATACAATTATTATTGAATATTTATACTAGTTTTTTCTATACACCACACAATTTTCAACATATTTTGACTCTTTTATGTTATTTATAGGCGTAAGAAATTTTATTTTTTCATTAGTTTTGTTTTAATTATCGTCGTTAAAAAATATGTTGCTCTGACAAAAAACTTGAAAATTGAATACTAAGTTCCTCATACGTTGTTATTAGTGTAATTTAAAAAAGTTGAGAGTAAATTCACAAAACCTCTTTAATGAGAGTTTAAACTTTATGTCAAAATCACGAAATTGAGCAAAGTCATTTTGAGTTACTAATTCATACAAATTTTTCTTTTTATATTTAATATTTAAAAATGTAAAACATATGTTTTTGTTTCTCTGCCTTAAACAACAAAAAAAAGCTCACTAATTTCTTATGAAGTTCACATTTTTACGACATTCTTCAACGATTTCTCATAGAACAATTTTCTTATCTAGTTATGTGCTTATCGCAGATGTTTGATATTTTCACCAAATGTTTATATTAGCTTGTTTTACATGGTATAATTTTAAAAGCTGTTAAAGCTATTAAAGGATTAGATTATTATAAACTATTTATTTATAGCTATTCATACATTTTTAATTTTCAATTTGTTTTACTATAACAATGTTAGTTATTTCATCGTAATCCAAAATCATTATTCGAGGGGACATATAAAATTATAAACGGTGCAATATGCAATGATATATTCAAAAAAATTAGGTTAATTTTGAGTTATAACCTACTTATTTATATCGTGGACGATGGGCATTATGTTCTCACTGTCTTATGGTTAGGCGGTATTGATTCCAAAGTAAATAACAATAACAATAACATAATGTGATTGAAATATAGACTACCTAAACTATAATAATTTTTGTATTTTACCTACCTTATAATCTCATCATGTGTGAATTTTTTTTTTACGAAAATATACTCTACAATACCTTTTCGGTGGTGTATCTATTTTCCCCTTACTACGTGTATAAGCGGAGTTAATGGTACGACAAAAAAGTGCACGCCTAGTAATATATAACAATACGGATTAACAATAATATGAGCTCCAACCTCGTCTCCCACATCACACAGGTACGTACCGACGTATTTGACCAGCATTTTGAATATCTCCTGGTTGCCACTCTTGCCGTCCAGTTTGGCCATGATCTTGTGCGTGCCAATGTTGCCCAACAGCAGACCGAGGTCGGTGACCTGTTCAATGCCCGCGATCCCGGTGTCGAGCATTTTGGCCACCCTCTTGACGAAGCCCGTCGGTTTTTTCACGGCGTCTGCTTGTCGCTTTACCGGTGTCCTGTCGCTGCCCTCGTCCGATTTACCAGCGGACGCCGACGAAGATCCGCCGGCCCGCGACCCGCCGATCTGTTTCCGGGCCACGCGGTACACCTTGTTTGACACCCCCTGGAATGCGTCCATGCCACGCTGCACGACTCTGACGCTGGTCCGCATGAGGCTCTTGAAAATTTTGTTCGGCTTCCGGAACAAGAAATTGCCCAGCCCCCCGAGACCGCCCCTGCCGGTGTCCTGCGGCTTGGACGGTTTGGCGACGGGCACCATTGCAGTGTCGGTGTCGATTTCGGTATCGGTGTCGGTTTCGGTGTCGGTGTCCACGTCGGCGTCGGTGTCAGCGTCGGAGTCTGTCGATCGTCCGCCGCTGACGGTCGACGAGCGGGCCGCCACGGTCACCGCGGGCATGCCGGTCGCCAGTTGTTGGGCCCTCGGCGCACGTGAAGAGCTCTTTGTCCTCACGTGATCGTGGGTGGCCGCCTGTGTTATGAAAACGGTGATGGTATAATAGTATTAGGACGTAGGAAGGAATATTTTAGGGGCTGTTTTAATTTTTATTTAAATGATACAGAGTGTGCAGCCATGATAAACGAATGGGTATTTGGATCAGGTGTTATTCGCCGATGGGTAGGGGGACGAGGGTAGAAGGATAGTCCTGTGACCGTTGGATCGGGAGATCAATGCAGTTTCAGTTGACGCCGGGTTTTCGTCCTTGCGTGCGCAAGGCGATTGGGGTAGAGACATTTTTTTCAAATTCGTTGTGGCATTACGAGCTTAATATTTACGACTGCACGAGGGAGGCAGCCGGTAGAGACTAGAGGGGTCGACGGGGAAAATTCCCCCCCCCCCCCCCTGATTTGGATGATATTCATTATACACGTGAAACACCTAGTTATTTAAACTACAATTTTTAAATCTATAATAGGGATAAAATATTTTTTTGTTGCAAAATTAATTCGACCAATTTCCGACATACCTATAATAATTAATAATAGCTACCAAGGTAGGTGCATAATTAGTGAGCACTATTAGACAGACTTAAACAATTTTAGATTCGTTTAATTGGCAGTTTTAGTTTTATAAAAATAATAGGACGTAGGAGTCACCACAAGTTGGAGAAATAAAATTTAATAGATTTAGTTCACTAAATCATTATGCGTAGGTACCTACTATAAGTACAAACCACTTAAAACTAAGCTAAAAATAGTCAGTTCACATATGGTTACTGTTGATAAATTACAAGCTAAGGTTTTAGTTTAAACTAGATTATTATAAGAAAAAACGGATCAAGTTCACATTAATTATAGCCATATGAGTATCTAATCAATGAGGTTGTTTTCAAAAACATAAATTCGGAATAATGCCTGTTCAATATGTTTAGTTAATAATATTTTCTTTTTTCATCAATTATTTAGACTCAACAATATCTAAATGTAGACATGTAGTGCCCACCTACATTTTAATAACATTTTTTAACTTAATGTCAATAATTTTCATTTATTTAAAATAAACGTATAGAATTAATTGTTCGTGTACCCACACACTAAAAAACATGCAAATATGTGGTAAAAATATTTAATTTTCAAATCACGGTAATACTACAAAACAAATTTGTATCGAATCCGATTTATTATATATTTTACTTTACAAACAAATATGCAAATTTAAAATGCATATTGTTATAATTTATCTGACTATTATCTGTACTCTAATATTTTCGGGCACATTTTATTCGATCTTTTCGGCTCTATAGCATATAACAATTATTATAGCATACACTTCTGTATCCTGCCTTAAATTGTAGTTGTTTAATGTTTTTTTATTTTTATTTTTGATTTATACTTAATAAAACAGTTTATCTGATTAAATGTATACATTTATATAATATTTTATACTTAGGTGTTATTGTCATTCGAAAAATTCAAACAATCCTCTATATGGACTTATTCACTCCAAAAAATGGAAACATTCCTACAGAAATTACTAATATTTTTAAAGGTATTTAAGAAGATAACTTACCAACTTACCTCTAGTTACATAAAGAATTAACGAAATTATACAATTATAAACCTACAAATGGCTGCAATATAAATATAACAGCCTAATTTAATAATTAGTTAACAAATTTCTAACTACCAATCTAGGTAACCCCGTTTAAATAAAATTGACTAAACTGGTCTATTTAGATGGTTTTTGTATTTTAAGAGGAATAAATAGATTAAATAAATGAGCGGAATTTTAGAATTTGTATGGAGTCTAGAGGTTTTGTACCGTTCGCGTTCAATCGTAACAATATTATCGAATGCATCTCTAAAATCTACGCACGTGGGTTTGGAGCTCGGAAATTATACATCATAAATCGTGATAGCCAATCGATAGTATTCAATGGCGAATTCTACGTCATACATAATTATTAGCAACATCAATCATCATTATTATGTTCGGACGTAGTGTCGTATAGTACCTATACAACGTCAATAGTGAATGTTTACACTTTACTATAAGCGGTCTTTTAAAAGTATTCGAATAAATGTGTTCAAATACTTTGATACTGTTTTAAATACTTTTTAAAAAAATCAATTAAAATACGTATTCTTAATAATTGTTGTTTTATTTTTTATTCGTTAAAAAAATTTTTTCGAACTCGAAAAATAGTATATACTCGTATTTGTGACGAAACAGATTTTTTTATTTAAAATATATTTTCTCTTTAAACGAAATATGATTGACCCACATGAATTTCCAATCATTCCAAAACTAACAAATATTCGAGGGAAAAATTAAAATATATTCTAATTGTATTCGAATACTAGAAAATGTGTTCTAATACATAATTCAAAATTTATTATATTAAATGTAAGTAATACGTATTCTGAATAATTTAGTACTTCTTTATTCGAAAACGTTTCCGAGTACAAAATAAATTTACTCTTTACAAGTCAGCTTAAAAGTACACACGGTCGTGTAAAGGACTTCAGTTGTTATTGTTATTTATCGAATAGTCTATAGGTATCATTGTATCGCTTTTTGCAGATTAAAAATTGAAAATTAATTTAATAACAAAAATATCTATTGTTTTTTTTTTTTTTTTATTTGAGTCCTTCACATATTCTGCCCAAATATATTATAGAAATAAAATTAAGCCATTGTGTAGCTAAATTCTAAAATCTCTGAAGGCCACCATACAATTCTAATGTAATACTAAATTTAATTGTAATTCGTAATCCCAAATAATTAACTCAAGTTAAGTTAAGTTAGAATGGAAAAAATATTAACATAAATCAATTCATAAAAAGTTAGTCAACTTTTTTAATTAGCATGCGAATCACAGAAAGTGTACCTATAACCTATTTATTAAATTTTGTGTCCATCTATATATTACTGTATCTGTTTAACATACATTATTTTATCAAGAAACCACATACCTATACTGTAATATTAATTACTATTGCAGTTTCTATTTTATTTTTTTTAAAACCTCGTACTTGTACCTACAGTTATTAATCTATGAAACCAAAAGTTTCAAAAAACCTTTTTTATTTTAACTCGATGGATTATACTAAATCTGCAACTGAGAAAATCCTATGTTGTTCCATCAATTAACTATAAATCGGTTGAATTTATAGGTCAGTTCGACAATCCGGTAACCAAGTAAGTTAAGTATGTAAAAGGTCAAAAATTTAAAAAATCACATTTTCAACTTAACTTGAGCTTTTTAACTAGTCAATGTTCACCTTTGCACTCACTTGGTCGTAGTAACAGCACACCAACCACAGCGCAACAATCGCTGCGCGCTTGGTGGTCGCTAACATTCCGGCGACGGTGACCGGACACGGACGACGAAGGCGGGCAACAAGTGTCGGTGCTAAAATAATACAACAAGAACAACAACAATAATTATTATTATTACGCGAATCGTCGATAAAAGTTTAATGTTATGACAATAATATAATTATGTATTATATTATTTGGGGAGGCGTCTACAATAGGCAGGCCCTCGGGTGTCAGTCGTCGGGGCCGTCGGGCAGAGCGTAGTCTTGTCTTGTTGTATAATTATTATAATAATAATTAATTGTTGTACACGTCGTTTATCATTTATTATTACTTGTCGGCTTCGCGGTCCGCGACTGCAACAGCGCACTATAAATTATAATATTATATTAAAATAACATCGCGCGCTTTTCGACAACCTACGACGATCGCGGCGACGTCCGACCGGGCGCGTGTCAATATTGGCGCGGAAACGCTTGACGAGTGCATAAAACATTATTTTAATACGTACTCATCACACTATAATAATATTATACAATCATCATATAGTGCCGTCGTTATTATTATGTTTCGGCAATGTATACGCAAGTGTTTCGTCTAACCTTCTATGCGCACTGCGTTTCTCACTCATCGCACGGAGCCTACCTGTGTTATTGCGAGCGTACGCAAACACCGCTCGACGATTGTTTATTTTTTTTTTTTTTTTTAATTAAAACTATTTTTTTCCCCATATTACACGTAGCCGAGTACGGCGCGTAAAGTTAAAGTCGATAGGAAACATTTGAAAAAGTTTAATGTTTATAGTTATCTCAATTTTCTAACTTAGTAAAGTAAAACATTAAGTGGGAACTTACAATGGCCGTATTAACTTAAGCTATACTATTATTATGTATTTTTAATATACATAAATAGACAGTAATAAACTCGAGAATGTATACTAATGTGGTTTAAATGATTAAAATAATAAAAACTAATAGTTATATGCAATATGAATCATTAATAATAATATTTTATTATATTTATTATTTAATAATATACTTTGTCTGTTCAAAAAAATGACTCAAAACGTACCATTTCCTCGTTTTTTTTATAAAACGTACTATTTCCAAAAAAGGTTATATATTGCACTATTTCCCATAGTACGAAGATAGGGAATGTAATGGAGTTAAATACATAACTTACAATTTCTATTGGTCTTAAATTTGTATACAACAGATTTTTAACTATATTAGTGGTAAATTAAATTATAAATAAATATTGTGTAGATGAGGGAGGTGCCTACTTAGTTTCATTTGCTTGTATATTTTATGAGCTGATAATAAAATCATCAAAGTTGATACCAATTTCTTTAAAATAGACCAAAAATTATAAAAACTACCTAGGTGTCTTATAAAATACCAATATTAAATATTAATAAAATAATAAATTGTAATTTGCAGCTAACATTACAAATTATGTTGAAAAAAATTAAGTAGCAAATTACCGGATTATTAGAAAATGTTGCGAAATTATTTTTAATATTATTTCAGGTATAGGTACAAATAAAGTTTTATTTTACAAGTTGTACTAGTGTAGATAATTAATAATGATAATATTTAACATATCAGTCTGGCTTTTAAATATTTTTTAATGTTATTGATTTTCATTTAAATTTAAAATAATAGTGGCTGACTGTAAGTACCTACCTTTATTAGGTGCTATTAAGTACCTATACAAATATACAATATAGATACCTACATTATTGACTAGGTAATACAAAATATGTATGAGTAACTTGTCAGTAATTAATATGACTGCTAAAAAGTATGCTTTATTACCTTGTTTTCATCACTGCTAAATGCTAATACACACATAATCATAAAAATCGAAAATGCGATCAAAGATGTCTAATTTTGTTTCCCGTGAGCTCAAATCATGTATACAAATAGGTAGTTTTGTTTTAGGTAATTTATTTTTGATAATAACTAAATTATAAAATAATAAAAGTTTAAACTGTAACTTATATCATCTTAATCATTAGTTACCCATCTTGATTGTTGCGTATAACACATTTAAATTTTATTGTTAATATTATTAATGATTGGAGGATCTTAAGCTTGTAAGATCTCAGCTCTCAGCTCTTAAGATTTTAAGCAAACCCGTTTTCTGACAAAATTGATGACATTTTCATTAGATGTTTATATATACCAACATTTTTTATATGATCCTTACAATTTCAAAAATCTGTTATTTTTGAGCTATTTATAGGCATAATAAAATTTTGACTACAACATTTTAGTTGTTTTTAATAACCGTCAGAAAAAATTTTTTCGGTAAAAAACTTGAAAATTTAATGCAAGGTTGCTCATAAGCTGATGTTAGAGCCTTAGAGGAAACTAGAAAAAAAATTGTATCGCTAAACCACTTTTGCATCTTTTTACGTATAGTTTCAGGCAGAGAATTGCTAAAAAATCGAGATATAGTTTTGACCTATAAAATATTATCTATCTCTAAAGGACCAATGACCATTATGTTATGCATTTGTATATTATGATATACCTACCTAATAACTTAACCATTTTTTTTTTAGTCAAATAATTTAATTATCTAGGTACATTTTATTTTACTTATATTTTAAATGTTAAATTTTAGCTAAACAGAATTTTATACTATTTAAAGAAAATCATTTCTGATAAAAAATATAAATAATGCAATACAAAAATATGGTTAGTTACCTACATAAAAGTATTTTTTAAATTATTGTGTTGAGTTATTACAAATTAAAAATAATACTTGTGTATTAGATATTTACATGTAATATATCATAATTCATAATGTATTTTTTATTTATTTACATTATAAACTACTTACCACAGTAGATCTGTACAAGTGTACTAGTGTACAACGTATCATTAAGGTATTAATCCGTCTTTCATTTTATTAAGATCTGTGTCATTTTCAATTCTTTATCAGGGGTATAAGTATAAGTTAAAGTAAAAGCGTTTTAATGTCCCGAAAGATTATCATCAATTTTCTCCAGTAAAGTTTAAAAGATATCCGTACGTTTGTGTCTATTTTCTACATCATACTATTAACTATTAAGAGTCGTCACTGATATTTTTATACATTATTAAAAACTGAAATAATAAGTACACAAATCTTATTACAATGTTAAATAATAAAAAAATATTATGTCACGAAAAATATTTCTCAATATACGATCATAATATCGACAATGTTGTCAGTCATGGCAGTCATGTCTGTCTTAAACTTGTGTGAAATAAACAAATTAAACATTTAAAAAACAAAATAACTACATAATTAACCAATTTATTATTATGAAGTACAAATTACCTATATCAAAACAATTTTTAAAATTATTTAGGAACTAAAATTGTTCTTTATATTTAAGAACTAGGAAAGAAACTACCTGGTTCCTCTCTTTAGGCAAAGAACAAGGGACGATTTAGTTCCTTTATAACAAGATGAAAGTGCACGTGAACCAATTAATTTTTAAAGGAACTTTCCAAGCACCGGAATCTTTAGCCAGGAAAGTTTGCCGTCTATCGGACACATCTGTCATCTAAATGGATACCTATATGTACAATTTTAGGGAGGGTCAAAATAAGACATTTTCTAATGTAAGATAACAAAGATATTTTAATGTTTTTTTCACATATAAATGATGTAAACATGCATGTTATATTTGTATTGTTACATATATATATAGTTGATTCAAAAACATTTTATTAGGTATAAGTATGTAAAAAAAAATGTATTTTCATACTTAAGTATTTCATATTTTATAAGCGTGATTTCAAAAATAATTTGTCTTGGTCGTTATTTAGTATCAATTATCATGGCAATATTTAAGTTCATATATTTTTTTCCAGGGGAGGACAAGTGTCCTATCTCCCCCCCCCCTCCCCCTCTAATGGGCGCTTATGGGCATCCACATGGTAACATTGATTATAAATACCGAAATACTATATAGATCGCTCACTGCGGCATAAAATAGGTATAAGCTACCCTGAATTTACTTGCGATCCTGGTGTTGATATCCAGAACTGACTTGGCGGCGGCGGCGTATCCAATAATCTAGCAAGCGTACTGTGCGTAGACCTGATAATATATGATATGATAGATCTATTATCTAGACCTGATAAGGTCTATGGTACAGCTGTGGCTAACATTTGTCTAGTGTAGTGCACCTGTCGTAGCACTTTCCTTTAAACTTTTAAAGTCGACCGATTTGTCCGTGCACAGTTCACGACTTCACGTTCGTTTCGCGTCAGCCGCCGGTCTGTCCAGAGTATTATCGCAAACGATTTGTTCCGACATCCGCAGTGATAGCGACTAGTGAGTTCATATCTGCTTACATTTTATAGTTTTATTTTGCTCTATTCATTTTTCGTACGCAGATTGAAGAAATGATAAAGAAATTCGAAAATGCAATTTTGCTGATCGATTAATTAGGAAAATACGCTACGATATTACACGGTAGGTACGTCTATACAGCGCAGTATGACGAAAAAATATCAACTGTTAAGTGCGAAATTAATGAAATAAAAACCAGAAGATTACAGATCGTAAGTACGATGTCATGACTGTTGCTGGGAAAGAAAAATCGATTAAACCCTTAACCAATGGCGCAGTTCTCTATTATTTGAAAGCGGACGAAATGTCTGACGTCCTGTATGCTTCTCATATTGAAATTGGCCACGGGGGGAGAGATATAACGATGACTGAATTAAAACATAACTTACTGTAACTTAACTAAAAAATCAATTATGGTTTCTTACGCTTCTGTTGTTTAAATTATCAAAAAAAAAAAACAACCCGATCAGAAAAAAAAGTTTGGTTTCAAAACCTATTGTGCACACAGCTTTTAACTTTTGAGCACAAAATTAACCTAGTCGACATGCAATCACATTGTTATAATGGTCATCGTTTTATTTTTAATTACCAAGATTATCTTACAAAATTTGGATTATTGCCGCCTCTGAAGTCAAAATATGCTGAAGAAATCGCTTTAAATTGATTATATATTTATATTTCTTTCAGGGCACTGTCAATTTTGTATTCTGATAACTGACGAGAGTTTGTGAATTCATCTAGCTATGTAAAAATGGTTTATGGCAAACCACGGCATAGCCAGAGCCAATACTCGGTAGAATATGCTTATAGAGATATTAAAGCAGTCTTAGCTGCATGGATGTCGGACAATAATAGTGAAGATTGGCCAAACGTTTTCAAATTAATCCATTTTCAAAAAAATCAAGTGTTTAATTCAGGTTAGTAATCTTTACTGTTGAATTATTATTATTTAATTAATTAAATAATTATAATACGAATATGTTCAAATAGGTATTATGATTATTACAAATATGAAAATAGGTAATAAATTAATACATTTTTTTTTTTGATTGGTCTAATTATAGGTCGTTCTCCTTATGGACCCATGTTTGGCTGTTCTAAAAACTTGGATTAGCTTCAACAAATATTCCTTACAATGACATTTCTAAATTGAAATTGGTAGAAGACTTTGAAAATGTATGAAAGCTCTATAGAACGTGAAGTTGAAGATGATGGTAGTGTTTGAAATTAAGGTAATTTCCAAGTCATAGTTGTAAATATGTCAACAAAATATTTGATTTTTACAATATTGCCTATGTTTTCAGTTAATGCTTAGGCATTGACGATATAGTCTACCAATGTTAAGAGTTTATGATATTGGCTGGGCATTTATGTTATTACCTAATTTACATAATTGACTGTAACATTAACAAATTATCAGTTCCAAGTAATATTACTATCAGGGTTGCGTTTGTTCATATTAATGAAAAGTTTTTGAAAGTATAGGTATCAAATAAGTTTTTAATTTGTTAACTTTAATTGAAATTGTTCTTCATTATTTGAAAATAATTTCAAATACTGTTTTAAATTATTTTAAATTGTTTATTCAAAATGTATTTGAGCAATATAGTGTTAATGAATAATTAGTATAATTAGTGTTATTTTTAACACTGATCTTACATTCACCTGATATGTTTTACTCAGATATAATTTTTGGCTTAATTCAACAATATATTAATCAATATTCAATAATAATTATAATACATACATTGATCAATTTTATTTTCTGTAATAAAACAAATAAGGCACTTTCTGGAATTTGGTCTTCCTGTTACAATGAATGATCATATTTTGTATTAGACATTTTTATTCTTTATTTTGAATCAGAAAATTCAGAATTTTGAATGGTAGTCTTTATAACAGATTCCCGTTATAGAACAATAAATACATAACAGAATCTTTTTTATGATATCGCTACATTTCCTTGAGTTATTGGATTTTAATTTTCAGTGCTTGTTTGTACTGATGTAAGAATACTAAGTCCTGGTTATAAAATATTTAAAATGTTATATTTATATTCATCTTACTTGAGTAAAAACTAAAACAATTTAAAATTTAAAATGCCTATAAATAACTTCAAAAGAGTCAAAATATTTTGAAAATATCATGTATAGAAAATGATAAAATAAAGATTTGATAAAAAATTCAAATACCTCTCGGTAATAGTTTTTGATAAACATCAAAATGAGAAAATCGTTGTATGAAAATTTGTTAATTTCCATTGCCTAACTTCAAACACTCATCAAAAATTAGTTTAACTTTTCGGCAAACATTTTGTTTTGTTAGGATAACTCAAATCTTGTATTAAATTTCCAAAATTGTTATGAAAATCTAATTTATATTTTTGTGATTTTGATAAATTTTGTCAAAATGTTAACTTCAGATGCTCATAAAAAATTATTGTGGAATCAAGGTCAACTTTATTTTTTGATTTTTACTTTCAATAACTTATGAGGAATGTAGTATTACTTTTTCAAGTTTTTTTGATTGAGCAAAAATGTTTTCATTGACAATAATTAAAGAAAAACTAATACAGCTCAAATTTTTTTTATGGCTATAAGAAATAGCTTTAAAAGAATTGCAATATTTGGAAAATGTTATGGTGTATAGAAATTTCTTATATTAACATTTAGTGAACATTTCATCTATACATGGTTTTTTTTTAAGTTACACTAAAACATTTATACTTCTACAATCTCAAAATTAACTATAGGTATTACTTATTTATTATAATTTTGTTTAAGATTTAAAATTCAGATGAAAGTTATCAAGTCTAGTAGGTACTCCTAAATCAAAAATAAATGTGGGGCAACTACTATTATCGATATACATTATTTTACGCCTTGGCTTTTCCAAAAATTATGTCTACTGATATGTCATAATAGTGTTATAGTTTGAGCTGTACATAAAACTCCTTTTATTTTTTGACATAATGATGAATAAATTGATTGTGACTGAACTAGTTTTTTTTTATAATTGTTTAGTATTGTGTAAAATATTAATACCCACTAATGTTGGTTAACAGAGCCCATGCCTTATTATTATTATTATTATTTTTAAACTTTTTATTGTAAAATATAAATAAGATGTTTGACATATTATTAAAATGTTTACAATAAAGTATCTACCTCCTTTAAGCACAATGCTTGTGTTGGTGGTAGAGAGCTACATTACATAGTAATAAACAAAATTACATACAAATAAACCTAATTCAAATTACAAAAATAAAAAGATGAGAAACATAATAAATTTCATAATTAACATTCAATGTTTCATATTATCTTATTCCATACATAATTATATAAAATTGAAAATGTATTAATTTATTTTTATAAAACTATCAGTGAAAATAACCACGAGTAAAGTTGTTTTTTATATGTAAAGTCATTGCATTATAATAATTAGGACCTAAATACCATGTAATTTGAAACCATGTATATTTTAGGACACATGTTGTCATTAAAATTATCTACATTCCCACAAAAACAGAGTTTTAAATCATCATGATTGGTCTCTTCTTTGTTCATTGAAAAATTTATAAAATTAGTTTTGTTATAATTTATTGATAGTTTCCTATGATTTAGATAATTAATCACTTTTTTAAATTCTTTAGTTGCTTTTAAACTAACATTTTTCTACGGCACACCAGAAAACAAGAGACAAGTGTCATCAGCATAGGTTGTGATTTGTCCATCAATTTTTAAATCGCATATTAAATTAATATATAATATGAATAATAACGGGCCCATGACACTGCCTTGTGGTACTCCACATTTAATACTCAATTCTTCACCTGCAGAGTTTATAATTTGCACAATTTTTTTCCTGTTATCCAAATAACTTATAAACCACTTTAAACTACAATTATTTAGACCGAAACTTGGTAAAATGTTACAAAGTTCACTATGATTGACCGTATCAAAAGCTTTAGTTAGATCTAAAAATATTGCCATTGCTTTATTGTTATTGTCAAACGCATTATATATGAATTTCCTAGCACTGTACAGTGCATTTTCTGTGCCCAACCCGGGTCTAAAACCAAACTGGTAAGTTAGGTAAACAGTAAATTATTACTTTCCAAAAACTACTAATCTATACTTTATAATTTTCTCTAATATTTTTGCGAAATTGCTTATCATTGATATTGGTCTATAGTTATTCATGATCTTTGAGTCACCATTTTTATATAAAGGTTTGATAATTGCAAGTTTAAGTTTGTCAGGAAATATACATTCAGAAATACATAGATAATAAATATATGTTAAAGGTTCAATAATATTTGTAGCAATATTTTTAATGTTTTCACAGATACTCCATCAAATCCTGCAGCAGTATCATCTTTCAAATTATTTATTATTTTTATAATTTCTTGATTGTTAATTTTCTCTTTAAAAATCATGTCAAATGAGGCTTTTGTGCTTGGTTCATCATAATTAAAATCCTATTTTTTTATTTTATATGCAAAGTTTGCTTTTAGTCAAATTTTGATCATTAGTATTACAACTTGTTGCAGTTGTTTGTCATGCTTACGTAGCATTAATTATAGTGTTAAATACTTAAATGAGAATTATGAAATGCGTAATGGTTATTAATACTCAAGTAGGTAGGTAAATAAAAAAAAAATATTCACAAAACCTGGTATAAAAAAATGTAATTTTTAATGCATGTGAATTTTTGAATTTTTTTTGGAAAATAGTTTCTATGAAAAAAGCAACCGGCTTTGATACTTACTCATTGACAAATTTGAAACCTGCTGTACAGCGAAGCATTACCCACTAGCTCAGTCTCGCCATTTTTTTTTTAGTACTATAGAATGAGAACACAAATAATGTTCTTACCTTAAGATAATAATTGGTTATTCACTCTAATACAGGAGCGTCTATTGTCATTAAAGTTTAATATAACAGCTTACAATCATAGGCTCAATGAGGTAAATATTTTTAGGGGTGCACAAATTGTTAAGAATTCCTAGAATCTTAAATGTTTATTTTAATATGATCGAGTTACAGATTAAGAAAATAAAATGTATCTCAATAATATTTTTTCTAGAAAAATAAATGTAACCACCTGTAGTAGGTACTAATGCTTAATAGTAAAATAAATTACTTGAATAGCAATAATATCATAAAATATACTATAGATTGTCTTCTCTCAGAATTATTTTTTGTATACAATGATTTTACATCATTATAGTCAGTCAATCTCTAAATACCTAATACACTGCAGAGCTTTACATATTTACCAGCCTATTTTTTTCTATCCGTCATCAACATTTGGGATAGTAAAAATTGTCGACATCAGTATCTTTTCTGATAAAAAAGTAAATCTAGTTAGCACTTTTGGGTGGTAAAAATTAGAAATTCTCAATAGTTTTTAAAAGCGTTGAAAAAATGAAAAAAAAAATGAGATTTTTGATATTTCTTTAAGAAAAAAATCAATTTTTTTTATGGATGGTGACGGTTCACCACCACAATAATTTCACAATGTCGGTCACCCTGCTATATAGTTTGTACCACTGTCCTCGCCGAACTCTGTCCACGGCCCACATAGCAAGTGTTCAACCACTGACAGGTAACCTTTGGCTGCTGCAGCCATTCACCATCATGTACAATTTTGTAGTGTGCACACGTTTTAAGTATATTTTAATTTTTTTCAATAGACTATCAAAACTCAAACTCCAACCCATGTTGGTGGTATAAGGAAAGGACATATTACTGACCTAACTCGAGACCAGCAATTTAATGAAATTTAAGCTCGATTTACTACCCTGTAATAATTAGCCTACTAATTTGAAAGAAATTAATATTGCTTATTTTATTTTATTACTATTTTATTTCATTTAATATCCAATGTAAATGCAATTTAAATACAAATTCAATGTCATATATGTTATTTGTGTTTGGTTTTACCTTTGATTTTTTAGTTGATACTCACAAGTACACAATACACCATTATTATTTTAATTTTATAACTTTTATTTTAGCCTGGAATGAAAGTTTCCTGACAACCCAGCTAACTACAACCCAATAATGTTAATATGTACATTATGAGATGAATATATGATACTATTCTTTGTTCAAAGTCTTAGTGTCTTCATTATACCAAGTGGATTGTCGAATACTCTAATAGATGGATTCCAATTCGTTGGACAAGGTAATATTTTATATTATATATTATATTTTATATTTATATTATATTATTTTTATACTTGTTGAGTTATTTTTATAATAAGTTTTTCATTGTAAATAGATTTTAAAATTCCATTCAATGTAAACTCGTATATTTTGATTCATGATTTTTTATGTAAAAATCATAGCATAATAAAAACCTATACAACAAATATTAGTTGATTTGATAAGTATTCATATTCATATTACAATTGTTTTTTACAATAATTAGTTGATTACTATAAATGTGTATTGTATAGGATTATCAGGAGCTCAGTCTGCATGCCCGAAACGGCACCTTTCTCTTGTGAGACAGACTATAGAAATTAAATTTAGTATTTGAACTTACAGTTTATTAATATTTCTCCTTTGAGCAGAAAGTATTATAATGTGTAACAGACAATAGTATATTTAATAAGTTGGTATTAATGTTTGTATTTTGTAAATTATATTTATTATGTTTATATCTTAAATATCTGATAATATTATTATTTTCGTTTTGATGTATTTAAGTATACATATTATCCTAAAATAATTTTAAGCATATTATCTTTAGGATCCTATCTCTTGTCAAGAACTTTAATAATAAGTTACAAAAACAATTTTGGTAATAATTTGTTATAAATTATAAATTTAATTTAGTATTATGTGCAGTTTATTAATATTTCTCCTTTGAATATATTATAATATGTAAAAGACAATAGAATATTTAATAAGTATGAATTTTGTATTTTGTAAATTATATTTAGTATGTATATTTCTTAAATTATATTGTTTTGTTTTGATTTAATTTAGTTTACCTATTATTCTTAAATAATTTCCAACACAGGGTATCTCTTGTTGAGAACTTATGTTTTATTATCGATGTGTTTGTATTCTAACATAACATTTATAAGTTTCTACTTTTTGCTGACAGTGTGAGGTATTCCTATAGTCTTTGATTTTTAGGGAAAGGTCGCAGGGGGAATGAGTTCCTTAATTAAATGTCCACATAATATCTTAACCATGTAGAATGGTATCTACTTCATTGACAATATTTAATGAAAATAAAATTTATATAACTTTTTATTCTAAACTAACAGGTGTGTGTAAAAATTGATATCTGATAAAGGGACAAACAAGTGATGATTACCTATGTAATAGTTAGGTACATTAAATATTTAGGTATAAGATAATAAGTAACCACGGTTGTTGATAGATCTACAACATTGTAACTGCAAATGAGTAAAAAGTTAAAAAATATTCATTAATATGCACTAAATATCTAAAATTATGCTTACTTAAATAAATAAAATAAAATTTATATTATAAAAAATATTTGAAATGTCATAAAAATTACATACAAATAAACTAATTTTTATTTTTTTGTCACAATTAAAAAAAATAAATTTTAAATACTATTATTGATCTTTCGTGAACTGCGTATTATGTTCGTCTTTGTCAATAATTTATTTTATGAATACGTTTTTTTTCGTCAAATATTAATTATTTTATAGTATTTCCATAAAAAATGCATATTGATGTAAATATATAATAATATGAATAGGCATATCAAAATCATGTAGGTATGCCAAAAACGATGAAAACATGCAAAAACGTGCAAAATAAGACTTCACATATCTCACCGTGGTACCTACCTTGAAATGGATTTATATGCCATCTACTATTAAATACAACTTAGCAAGATTTATATGCAAATGCATGAAATTATACGAGCTCTGAACTGATGACATTAATTTAATGTAAAAACCCACCACCAAACTTACTGAACTGACAAACATCCTATCGGTCGGTAGGTACCTAGGTATTATTAATTGGGTATTGATTCAATGATTCGGTAAATTTTATTGGAGAAGACTTCGAGACTCTCTAACAATGAATAAAACTTTATTTTACTACTGAATAACAGCACGCACTCAGTCTATTTAACTCCGACATGTTTATTTTATTTATATTATACCTATAGTAATATATTTTTTCTATTAATTATCACGTGCCATAAGGGCACCATTGCATGCTATTATAGCTACTGTAAACAGTCACGGCTGGGTTGGTACAGTTGTTGCAAACTCGTGTTTGGAACAAGGTTTTTGCCGCTAAGAACCCAATGATGGTCACCCATCCGGAAACTATAGTGCCAGTGGACGGTATCGACAGCAACAGCGCCACGCCAGTTTATATAGTAATTTATTTTAGTACGATACCTATGCGCAGTGGCGGCGCGAACTTTTTGAGTCTTTGAAGCAAATTGTACATTTTTAATATTTTTACCATCAACCATCCCCTTTATTACATCAAATAATGATAATTTACCATGTTGAAGCTATGAAGCAATTGCTTCAAATAGTATTCTATCCCACCGCCACTGCCTATGCGTTGGGTTATCTAATTCTAAACTATATATATGGTATAAAATAAATACAAGGTTTTCAATATTAGCAATTACCATAAATGAGATATTATAAGATATCAAATGCCTCTAGAGATTAAAATGTGTAGAATGCAAAACAATGCGTATAATAACTATGCATGAAATAAATTAGACTTCATTCTGTAAGGGATAATTAATTGGTCTTCGTACGCATAAGTACCTACCTATTAGTTATTATTATTAGTATAAGGCTCGGAAGTTGATGTATTTTGCATTTTTTTTTTTTTTTGAACTTTTTAGACCATGCTCTTCTGGCCACAAATGTGTTTCATTAGCATGTGAATCTAAATCACTAATTTTTATTTGCATTTTTTTGTGTTTGTTACTTTCTAAGTCATTTCCCCACATTTTTAGTCATTTTTACTGATTTCATACTAGTTCACTTCTTATCGTTTCTTGTCGACCATTATGTCGATAACTTAAAATTTGAAAATTACTATCGCGGGCTGAGATTAGTGCCTATCCGATTTTATCTCGCCGATTACATTTTAGTCGTTGTCGTGTTGTGGTGAATATTATATTATACAAACATTTTATTTTATTTTTCTAATATCTGATTAGTATCCGTGTTCGCGCGAAGTGCAGCGCGATCTTGTGGCACGTCTGTCGCATATACCGTTCCCACTATCAGCTTGAGTTCTGTTATCTGAAAGTCGTTTTTTGTTCATTTTTCAAATTTCATATTTTCGTATATTCTTATTTATTATGGTCTTGTGTCCACTCGATCTATCTTTATTTTGCTTTCATAGATTTTTATAGTGTTTCTGCTGTGCGGCAGTGTCATCAATTATTGTGCTAAACGTATTATTTTATTGTATCCTGATGACACTGTCCGCAGCAAAGTCTATAAAAGGCTGGACGCACTAACTATGCTGGCCTTTTTTCTCTATATTTCTTCGGCCCGAAGACGCCCGTCTTGTAACACTATTCTACTATTCATATAAAAGATATAATATTAAAGATAGATTGTTTTGTAGATGAGCATTTATAACAATTTCAATTTTAATTTCCAAAATTTCATATAAGGATAGTAATTTAAATTATATTATTATTATATTTTTTTTTTTAGGGTACTCTGACATCCACCTGTAGATTCAAGAAAAAATTTAGATTTTCTATTAATAACTGTAAAATCTTACTCTGCACCTGAAGATTCAATTTATCTAATATTTCAGAAGCTTATACAATTTATTCATCAACCAAAGGTGTAAATGAGATATTTTTACTCAATAATAGTAGGCCAGGTCTAGATAGAATACTTGTTGGTGCCGATGAATCTGCTTGCAATGTGGCTACTCGTTAGTTGTAATCTTTTTTTTACTTATTCCAGCTAAAATTATCATTTAATTAGTAAACTGTTTGGACTTTCACTGATTAGAAGAAAATAACTAAGTGTGTATAGGTACCTACAATCATTTTTAAACATCAATAAATTATATTATGTTGTATCTCAACATTTAAGTATTTATAATAATTATGATAACCACATCACTTTATTTAAGGCCACTAGCCGGCCATGCCCATGATCTTCTCCGAAAAGCTATTAATCGTCATTACTGTATGTTGAAATGAAGCTTGAGAAAATAATGTCAGTTGAATAAAAGAAAAAAACCTATAAGACAATTATATAGGCAGCAAATCGTGAGGGTTGCACTCTTATGGCAGTATGATGTCAAAAAAATGTTTCTAAAATAATAATGATTATGACTAGTAAGAATATAGTATATTAGATTAAACTATACATTTGTTATATTAATTTCAATACAAATAAACACATACAAGATGTGCAATCAGAAATATTATAATATTATAGGTAATTATTTATTCAATACGAATTAAAACATCTTAATAATCTCGTTACACAACATAATACAATATTAGTTATTACAATATACATTTATAACTTATCCTAGGATAATCCTGGATATGTCCTAATGGCTTTGCTCCATTTCAATCAATTTATATCGGTAAACCTAAAAAATAAGTATTTCAGTTGACCAAACCGGTCGTTGCAGTTCAATCAGCAGTTTCAAATAAAAAAAGAAATCATTTTATAGACCCAATTAAATCGTTTTTGATGTCAAAACATGTCTAATGTTAACTTTATTCTAGTAAATTATTCTGTTTAGATAATTTCTTTTAGTAATACAAATAATAATACAATGTGTTTGTCCTCAGAAATGTATGAAGGTTGGCACAGTGACACGACGTGTCTCCGCTAAGAACTGTTTTTCGTATTCAATGATTCAAAATTTAATTTAAATTTAACACATCCATTACAGAGTATCCTACCTACTCAATCACTAAGTAGGCCTACTAGCGAAACCTTTTTTAAAATAGCGTCTTAAATGGTTTTAAAAAATTGTGTATGTACCTATAATATAATATTTTGTGACCATAGGTTAGGTTAGGTACCTACCTAATTAAAAATAATAATACCAATTGTGAGAATGAAGAGAAATAAATATGGCAATGTATAAACTATAATTTAATATACAATTATAGCATGTTTACTTAATCGATACCTATTTAATTCTCAAACAGAAATGTTGAAATCAATTAATCGTAGATGTATCTGTTGGCATTTAGAAAGCGAGAAATCAAATCTTAAGATTAACTGTATTATATTATAAGTGCGTAATCGAACGTTTTTGACCATTTGTTACACTATTCAAATTTTTATTTTAATGTTTATCGTCTTAAAAGATAGTAGGTATTTTATTATAAATAAACTATTTTGCAGTTGCAAACTCATAACGTTTTTAATTTTAGTACTCAAAGTTAGAAAAGTTAGTTACTCATTAGTCTTTAACTTAGATAAGTTTTTCTAAAATTTTTCAAAAATATAGAGAATACCTTCATAATGTGTAGTCCATAATATTATATTTTTAATAACCGCTTGAAATTAAAATTTTTGCGAAATCGGACATATTTTAAACACAATTATATACAATTTAAAGTACCTATATATTGAATGAGGTCCAGCTT